AAATGTGAAAACAGATTTGTGTTGGTAAAAATACAGAGCAAATTCCCTAAAATATTCTTCTACCAAGAATGAGTATTCAAACTGATGATGCATATTTAGGAAACTGAGGTTTCCAGCTCTGCATAAAGAAAGGTACTTACCTTATAGGATTATCCATCCTTGACACTGTGAGAAATGCAGCTAAATTGGCTGTGTAGGATGAACACACAATAAGGGTAAAGAGCCACCAACTTCCCATTACAATACGCATAGCCACAGAATTGATAGCAGATTCACCACCTACAAATAAGCAGAGAAATTGAGGTCTCATAGAAAGCTGTATTTAAGATCACCTACAGTACATGGTCCATGTCTAAAGTGAAACACAGAATTATTCCTATGAATTTTATTTGTTGTTCAACTTGCATTAGCTGATCATCCTTGTCATTATGTTCAAACACCTATCTTTACTAGGTCTGATATGAAAACATAATATCTAACTGGTCAGGAATATTCTGCTGTACTAGTGAGATTTGGTGTGCAACTATAAAACAAACAACCCCGCCCCCCTCCCGCAGACATGTGCTAAAATCTCTGGCTTGAATTAAATCTTGTAAAGTTTCTACATCAAATCTGTCACCCCATTTGCCCCTTGCATAATCACAGAATAATGCTGTAAAGAAAATCCACTCAGGGCCTTACCCAGAATTGTCAGGCTCTAATCTGCAAAATTACTTCCATAAATACATACACATTAATAATTATGATATAATATCACTACCTACACCAGAGCATATCAGAATAGACCTATACTGTTTGTGAGGGGGTAATGTAACTTTAAAATTAAGGACATTGTTTAAACTTCTGTGGCTTATATTGAATTAAATAATAAGAGATTTTGGCATCAGCTACAATGTAAGTTTTTTATTCTTCTTCAATTTTCAGTACATTTTTGTAAGACGATTCCAGAACAATTATCTCTGACCTTTAGTTAAAGACAAAACTCTATTGCACAACAGAACTTTGTTAGTCCCACTGATGTTTTGCTTATGGTAAGAAACATAAAAATGGCCACACTGTCAGACCAATGGTCCATCTAGCTCAATATCCTGACTTTCAACAATGACTGGTGCCTGATACTTCAGAGGGAACGAAGAAAAAAGGCAATTATTGAATAATCCTTCTCCTGTAGTCCAATCCCAGCTTCTAGCAGTCAGAGGCTTAGGGACATGCTTAGCATGGGGATGCACACATGGCCATCTTGCATAATAACCACCAAAAGATCCATTCTCCATGAATCTAATTATTTTTGGAACCCAGTTGTACTTTGCAGTTCCACAACATCCACTGGCAATGAGTTCCACAGGTTGACTGTGCATTGTGTGAAGTAGTATTTCCTTATATAGGTGCTGTAGTATATAATATATTATTATTATACATTAATATATAACCTACTCTTTCATAATAAGATTGAAAAGAACTGACTGTAAGTGAGTAAATGCTGACAGTACCTTGCTGAACAAAGGCCCCATACACAATCCAAATGGCACTGTGAAGAGTAGAGGAAGCAGAGGGATTGGTTTGTGAAGAAGTCTGTGCTCTTACTGCCTGGATTCGGTTTAATACAAATATCAAGACACCAACTACAGGGATGGCAGCTGCAATGCAGGCCCACACCGCAAAATCAAAGGGAGCAAAGAGAGAGAAGATGTTGATTTTCTCTTCAGGCTTCTTGATTAGAATCCCCACAGAATAATCCATGTATCGCTTGCTGAAGTCCACAACACTTTCTCGTTCTGGTGTGATAGTGATAGCTGAGATTGCCAAATCTGCTCTCTACAAGAGAAATGCAACAGGTCATATTTCTTCCTGCCACTAGCAATCACTTTACTTAGATTGCAGAGATTTGAACAATAAAAGGAAAAATTCCAAGCCAGCCAACAATGTATGTATTTCATTGATTTGTTTCTCGCATCTAATTTTAAATTGTAGTCCAATGCATAGAAAACTGCAGAATCATTTCAATTTATTGGGAGAAATGAATAAAATAAAAATATGTACTGGTTGAAAGAGGAGTACCTAAATTTGCCTGTGGAATTACTTTATAGCAATGATAGGCAATCTAGGCTAGTGAGTGGGCCATATGAGTGGTCCTCCATCTCAGTGGGCCACAAGATTGCCATAGCCAAGATGGTCTCCTAGGACACGGTAATTTTGCTAATTGTACTTGTGTACCTAGAATTTGTGGGGTGTATCAACTGGACCATAACACAACTTTGATTGGATGCAGAGGGAATGCACAACTCTTAGTCAATATTGTGTGTTCTCATCACCCACTTCATTTCACATGCCCTTGCTTTATATGTGTGTCACTTTAGTAATACCAAGAGAAAAAAATGTGCACAGACAGAAAATGGAGTATGGCAAGCCTACATGTGAGTAGCGGGAAACAAAATGCTTCATAGGCCACACAGAGAACCACTACTATTGTATAGCCAAGAGTATCTAATTGTCTCATGGGCGGGAACTCACTTAACCTTTTTGTCACACTTTCCTCATTTACAGAATATAGGCTACCAATCCTAGCTCCTGCCTAACTGGGCCATTGTGAAGATTAATAAAAGAGCCAACATGAACATAAAAATCACACTCTGCATGAACATTTTCTCTATTTTTGTTACAAATAACTTGTACAGTTATTCTAACTGAAAGAGAAACAAAAACCCTATTGTATTCTCCACACCCCGCCCTTCTCTTAAAATAACTGTTACTCCTCATACAATGAGAAGGGTTTTTTCTCGAAATAATGCTGCTACATGGGGCGTTTTATTTCGCAATAAAGTGATTTCAAAATGGTGCCCCGACGTGATTATGCTAATTAAGCATGGGATGTTTAAATCCCATGCTTCATTAGCAATTTTGGTACACTACATTTGCATCCCTATCTTGAGATAGGGAGCAAGTGTAGACGTACCCTCTACAGAGCAGGAAGTCAAAGGAAGAACTCTCTTCCTTCAATTTCTCTTACTCCTCATGAAATGAGGGTTACAGGAGTCAGAGCCAGAAGTCCTTCATCTCGACATTATTTTGAAAAAAACAGCTTGCTATGTAGATGCATGCTGTTATTTCAAAATAACACCAGTTATCCCGAAATAATGCTGCTGTGTAGATGTATCCCTTACTGTTGTCTCATTTGATCATCTTGAGACCCGTCTTCCATTGCTTTTTAAAACACATCCTTTGGAATCAAATGATCATTATAAAATTATATAAACCAAAGGAAGTTTAACAGAGTTAGAAATGAAGTTGCAGTAGCTTTGGAATAGTGACAAAGTTGTAACACAGGGATCTCAAACTTCTGGTCTGTGAGCCATCTGCTGCTGGAGCAATTGTGCAATCCAGCCCAGGAATCCTTCCTGCCAGCACCTTACCCTCTGCCCCATGGTAACTTGTTCTCAGAGAATGCGGCTTCAGGTATTACCAGGGGGCCTGATGCAGCATGGAGGCAGTGGTCAGGGCTCCTTGTACTCCCTGTAGTGGCAGGAGCCACAGGAAAACAGAGTGCAGCAAAGTGAGTGCACTCTCCAAATGTGTGCCTGGCTTCCTTGTGGCTTCTGCTACTGCAGAGAGTGCAAGTGGGCCCATTGGTGGGAAGGGGTGAGACTTGGGGCATGGTAATGCATAGTCCCAACCCCCTGGTGGGACTCCTAGCTGGATTGACCAATTGTTCCAGCCTGGGAATGGTATAACAAAGTCCTCTGATAAGAACAGATGTAGAATATATATTTTGGTGTTTATTTTTCATCTGATAAATTTACATAGCCTATTGTTACATGAACATAGCTTACATTGAAATTGGGAGTAACTTGATATCACTGATAAAATAATATATTTTAGAGTCTTTTTTTTTTTTTTTTTGTGGAAATGGGCCAAAAGCACAATAGTTTAGATCATGTTTCAAACTGCTCAAAAAAGTGAGGAATGTTTAGAATTTGGCGTTTGATTCTGACATCCTTTGTATTCCACTGTGGAGAATTTCACTGTACCCCTTTAAAAAGTGAACTGTACTCAGCTCAGAGATCTCTGCTTCTGCTCGCTGTACCTTGTTAATAAGTTCTCCAATCATGCCATTCCAGGAGCTGTTATGGAGCTGGTGTCCATACTTGCCATCAGGAGCTTGATAAATCTCATACTTGAAGCCCAGATTCTTGGCAAGTGCATCCAAGACGTCAATAGAAAACCCTTTGTAGCGCTTTGGTTGACCAAGTATGTTCTCTGCCACCATCACAAAAGGCTCTTCCTGAGGGGAAAAACAACATCTAAGCTAATATTTACAAAAGTAAAAACACTAAAAAAAATGTATCTACTTCTCATCCATTCAGTGCGATTGTTGGTTGTTGGAATACTGAAGTTGTCAAGCCCAGAATAATGTAGTTTTATAGTTTATCCATAAGGTAATGAACAGATCTTCTATACAGGACACCCACTGAAATAATGGCTAGAAAACCCTTTGATAATTTTTCCATTGTTTATCATTATGACCAATCCAAGAACAGTTCTTGCAGGGGCTAGCATCCAAAGTGAAATTAGAGTTAACAAAATGGATTCCCAATTGCAATTTCCAAAATACTTCAGGGCAATGGTGTTTCACTCTGACACAGACTATGTGCCAGTTCCACTGATTTTATAGGCATTGCTGTTGGCTATGTCTGCAAACTGGTGCTGACATCCTCTCTGGATGGAGTTGCTCTCCTCCCACAAAGAAGGGAGATATGATCACAGCCTTTACCAGCTAGAGGGAAGAAAGATAAAAACAGATGGAAAGAAAACTGTCCTAATTATCTCATACAGTTCTCCAAATCTCACTAATGAACTTTGATCTAGGAAAAGAGAAAATACACATAGAAAAACAAGTAAGTTAAGATGCTTCCGTTATTTACATTGCTAACTATAATATCTTTCAACCAGAGAAGGACATTACTATAATGAAGAACTAGCGTGGGCATAGAGTTTTGGTACAGAAGAAAAGCAACACAATGAGTTCACCATGTTCAGCATTTTAAGTAATTATAAGGCTCCTTTAAAAAGTACATTTTAGTGATTTAGCCAAACAGAAAATTAATGAACTACCTTGTATCCCTGAAAACAAGTTCAAATCCTAATTTATTCCCCATGTAACTTTTAGCTAACTGGAGCTCTAGTGCCTTCTAAGGGTATGTCCACACTACCACCCTAGTTCGAACTCGGGTGGTTAATGTAGGCAATTGAAGTTGCAAATGAAGCCGAGGATTTAAATATCCCAGGCTTCATTTGCATCTTGCCAGGCGCTGCCATTTTTAAATCCCCGTTAGTGCAGACTCCGTGCCCGCGGCTACACGCGGCATGGAGTAGGTAGTTCAAATTAGGTTTTCTAATTCGAACTACTGGTACACTTTGTTCCACGAAGAGTAACTGTAGTTCAAATTAGAAAGCCTAATTTGAACTACCTACTCCATGCTGCGTGTAGCCGCAGGCACGGAGTCCGCACTAATGGGGATTTTAAAATGGCGGCGCCCGGCAAGATGCAAATGAAGCCTGGGATATTTAAATCCTCGGCTTCATTTGCAACTTAGATTGCCAACATTAACCACCCTAGTTCGAACTAGGGTGGTAGTGTAGACATACCCTAAGTTACTAGAAGGAAGTGGCCCTATGCCATCACATAACAAGCAGTTATGGATTTAATGAAGGAATCACTTGATGAAATTGTATGGCCAGCATTATTCAGGAGATTAGATTATAACAGTGCTCCTGAGTGGCCTTCCAATCTATTAATCTCTGGGATCAATACCGGGAAATGTCAAAGGTAAGGAGCACAGTGCATGAAATTCACCCCTGTGCAGAGGATTAGTACAAGTCCTGTGCACTATTGGGCAATGCACCAGCTTTATATTGGTCATCTGCAAAGAGGTGAATTTCATCCTGTGTGAATTGTTTGAGACCAGCACAGTATGCAGTTGTCTAAAACACTGATTTTAAGGAGAATCCACAAAGTCTCACAAAATAACCATGTTCTCCATCTCTCGTCTCTTGCTTATGCAGCTAGTCAGACCAAAAAGATGATACAAGATTAAAAGAGATCATGAAAAATGATGGGTGGGGAGCACCCAAATATTTTATCACAACATTAGTTTTCTTTTGTCTCTTGAACTCAAGTAGGATCATACCAGGACAGTCACCACTTTCAGCGTCAGTCCATGTAAATCACTGCCCAGACGCCGCTCTTGTAGGCTGCCATTCAGTCCCTTTTCAGAGTCCCATGTTGCCAACTACAAATGGAAATAATATGAAGTGTATATGAAGGCAATATTAGACACATACAAGTTTAACATTTACCTTTAACAGTAATTTGAATGAATGCAATTTGAATCTGTGAATAATTTTTGCTTCCCATTAGTGTCCGGAATATAATGAGTTGAAGTTTAAGAGGATAGAAATGCCCAAGTATCCCATTAGTGTCTGGAATATAATGAGTTGAAGTTTAAGAGGATAAAAATGCCCAAGTACTTTGGCTGAATGAGTTTTCTTCAATATGTCTCTTAATAAAGTTGCTTAGTTATCAACAGTACTTGTTATGAGACTTTTTTAGGAATTTTCTATTGACTCCTCATCATTAAGATTTTCCGAAATCTTACCACCTCTCTCATTCTGTTCTCATTTTCTCCCTATTCTTTAACTGATTCCCCACCAAGCTCACCAAACACCAGTTTCCTTTCTCTGGTGCACAACTCAGTATCTCATCCATTAGTAGTAAATATTCAATATTGTTGGCATCATAAGGAACGGACTCCCCTTCCCTCGCCATGAGAATGACTTCAGATCATATCAAAGCCTTATTTCCTCTCCTTGACCTAGAATTCCTCACCCTCTCACTAATAAAACAACCACATCAATTTCTCTCAAATGCCAAGGTTGCTGAAGATCATACATGTCCTAAGCTTTAAAATAAGTTATAAATGTGGTGTATGCACCCTGTTTAACCCCAGCCCTGCAATATTTATTGATTCTACTTTTGTCAGTATATCTAAATGCATTAGTTTTCAATTAAATATGATACAGCACATCAAACTAAATTATAATGCATTTTCTGACAAGAATTCTAATGTGGTAGTCACCCTGAAAAGATCTATTGGATTTTTCACAGTGAATACTTCCTGAGTGAGTAACAGGATGCTTCTCTTACCATAGAATGGAATCCATGAAATAGTTTTGTTCTTGGATGGAGCTGAGTGATACTGATGTCAAATTTCTTGTATTTGTCATCAGTCCTGCACTTAGCGATATGTATGCTGGTATTTATTTTGCTAGCTGTAGGAATACCCCTTGGACATTACATTTAGGTCATAGAACTCTAAAATGTGGCTTTTTCCAGATGGCTATCTTTAGTATAAAAAAGGAGCAGGCTACCTGTGGTTCGTGGGCTACATGCAACTCACCGGAACCCCTATCTGTCCCTCTCCCCCATGTGCCTCTCACAACTGGGTCACAGGCACCTCTCGCTTCCTACTCCTCCCTCTTCTTCCCAGAGCTGGAATGCCACAAATCAGCCGTTTGCTGTTATTCAAGTTCTGATAGGGAGGGGGACTAGTGGGGATGTAGTGCAAGTCAAGTGACTCGCGACACTCCAAAAGTGCTAGGAGGGATAGGGAAGAATAGGAAGGGCAGGGCTCCAGTGCCCCAGTGTATAAGATGCATGTGGGGGAGGAGGGTAGCCAGGAGGTCTGTGGAGCCACACGTGGAACCCCAGTGCATTGCAGGCTGCTGCAGCCCACTGAGATGAGGGAGGCCACTCATGCGACCCTCTCACTATTCGTAGCTGCCAATCCTGGTGTATTTGGCCTATACTGCCTCTGATTAAATATTCTACAAGACTTATTTATGTTCCTTTAGTCTTATAATTCACCCTCAGAAGTTGGACCAACACACAACAAATAATAGGGGAGCAGGTAAATTCTCAGTCAGGGCTTTGGGTACAGTAGGTACATAAAAATAATAATTGCACCAATCCATCTTTGCTTGATGATTGGTCATACTAAAGAAATGGGCCTAGAGTTATTGTAGGTATCAAAAGAGTAACGTACCTATGAAAACTGTGTACAGTAAGGAAAGTCAGGAATTAGGCTACATTTATCTTTACGCATCTACAACGTGGGAAGTATAGGTGATGTCAAAAGCTACAGTGACCCAACTTAAATACTCTCACACTTATATCATTGTGGAAATATTGCCCTTTGCGTCCAGTAGTCATTACACTGGAATGATCTACTACAGGTGAATCTCTCTGGTCCAGCACTCTCAGAACCTGACCAGAGCCAGACCAGAGAATTTGTCAGACCACAGGAAGTCAATATTGTCTAGCACCATTACCCACACTTCCACTGCTTACTAGGTTCTTAGAAGACATTTAGTGGTAAATTAGAGCTAAATAACAGCACAGAATACTGAGAGTCAGGACTGTTGGCTATAAACAAGTTTGCTTCTTTAATGACATCAGAAAAGTCGGTTGAGGTTTTTCTGTCAGGGCTGATCTGGAAGTCAGTGTCTCCTTGGTCATCATCAGTTGTCTTTTCCTTCACAACTGCTGCCTCCTTGGAACTTTCTTCATCAAACACTGGAGAGAAAGATTCGGTTGCTTTAGAGCTCTCTCCTTTCACCTGGCCTCTATCTACTGGTTCCTTTTTAGAGCAATCAATAGAAGCTTGCTTTCCTTTTTTAGATGGCGAATCTTTCTCTGTAACAGAAGGGGGATGCGGGGGAAGGGGCGGGGGAAATGTCTGTGAGCTAATGGTATTAGAGGTGATAATTGGGGAGGCTATCTTTGTAATGGGTAAGATAGCCAGAGTCTTTGTTGAGCCCCCCGCGTAGAGTGTTGAATTTTAGCATGAATGACAGTTCAGAGGATTCCCTTTCAAGTGCAGATTTAAAAGGCTTCTGAAACCGGATGCAGGTAATTAAGTTGTTGAGACAGTGTCCTTTCTGGTTGAAATGGCAAGAAACTGTTTTTTCTTTGTGATCCTGTCTAATATCTGTTTTGTGAGCATTGATCCTTTGGCAAAGTGTCTGAGACATTTGTCCAATGTACAAAGCAGACGGACACTTTCGGCACATGATAGCATAAATTATATGCTATCCTCTGAACTGTCATTCATGCTAAAATTCGACACTCTACGCGTCGGTCTCAACAAAGACGCTATCTTACCCATTACAAAGATAGCTTCCCCAATTATCACCTCTAATACCATTACCTCACAGACATTTACCTTTCCCCACCTCTAATACCATTCTTAGTTAGAACTGCCTGCCCGTGGCTACATGCGGCAGTCAGAAGTTAATCCAAACTAAGTCCTTAGTTCGGATTAACTGTTACTCCTCCTGCAATGAGGTGTCTAATGAAGTGCAATGAGGCAGTCAGTTCGAACTAAAGGGATTTAAAAATGGCGCCACTGTTACTCCTCCTGCAATGAGGTGTCTAATGAAGACTAAGGGGATTTAAAAATGGCGCCAGCCCGGGAACATGCAAATGAAGCCCGGGCTATTTAAATCCCAGGCTTCATTTGCAAGTTCGAATGCCTACATTAGCCACCCTAGTTTGAACTAGGGGGTTAGTGTAGAAATACCCAGAGAATGGTTATTGATAAAAATATCATGCGAGACCATATCAAACGCCTTTAAATTAAAAATGGAAGTCTAATTTTAAATTTAATGTCATATTTGCTCTCGGGATAAATGTAAATAAAGACTTCTCCTATTTGTTTATTTTTATTGTTATTTAACAAAGCAGACCAGAACCTCAACAAATATAACTCAGCATAGCTCAACATACGTAAAAAGAGTAAGTCCAATTTGCACCAGTTAAGGCTCTGGATATTTACTTAGAACTAGGAAGCAAAACACAACCCTGCATTACTCACCATCTTCTCTTTCAATGTGTTGGCAAACAATTTTTCCCCACCCCTTTTCTCTTTTCCATCTTTAAAAATAGCCTTTGCCAGAAGTCTAAGATATGATTATTTGAATATCATATTAACACATTTCCCACCAAGACTGGGACTTTGCAAAGAGAAACTGAAATATGTGAAACATAAATAGAGATTTATTTCTTTTGCTTTAGTTTAAAAGGGAGAAGGAGAGAAATTGACTTCTCATATATTAACTTAGGATGAGGTTCAGGGAGAAAGGGAAAATGTATAAGATACTTTTATAGTTTCCCTCTATTTCATTTCAGCTTCAGCTGCACACTGTTTTGTCTGTAGAGGTATATTTCACAGTCTATAAAAAGTAAATGGCATAGATAATGTTGATAAATGGAACATGAGGAAAACCTTGTACCAAAAGGGTTTCTTCCTCTGAATCCTTGAGCCTCAGATCATTTTATTTGTTTGTAAGTGTGTTAATTTTGACTTCCACTTGCTCTTGAAGACAGAATTTTGTTTATAGGATCAGTGAATTTAGTTATATGCACCAGTTCTTGACAGCTGACCTGTCAAGATCAGTCCCCGAAAAACTAATTTCCAGCACTGTTAAACAAAATGAGTGCTGGTGCTATTTGATAAGACAGTTTCAGTTTTCATTCTTTGTAGAAATGTACTTCTATCAGAAATCTGAAGCCAGAAATCTGAAGCCAGAAGTTACAGCACAATCATCAATTGACAGATGTATAGGTTCTAAATCTGATTATGACAAACAACTGCTCGTAGGATCAGCCACTCATGGAATAAATTTTGTAAACCAATGGTCTCTGAAAAATATATTTGCCGAAGCAATCCAGGGTATTCTTGATTCTCAAGTTATTGAATTGCAATGTTTGGGCTTCCTGGATGTATCTTTAATAAAATTTTTGGCTTAAAGTGTTCAAGCTAGACTTTCTTTCTGATTAAGGCTTGTATTGTATATAATCATATTACAGACAAATCCTACATTCTCTTCATAACACTGAAGGTCAATCATCACTGAAATCTAAAATGGAGAAACAGTTACAAAATCCTGATGAAATTATCATTTCTTTGCAGACCATGGTGCTGATTTTTCAGATTCATTTCTTTGCAGACCATGGTGCTGATATTTTTCAGATAGCAGTTGTACTTGTGAGCAAAATAGCAGAGAAAATCTTGGAAAGAAATTAATAAGTGTAATTATATTTTATAACACAAATGTATCATGTGGTTATGCACATACAGCATATACAATAGTGCAACATTGTTACTAGTTGGTTAATGAAATGTTAATGATACACTGTAAAGGGTCTGATCCTATGAGCTGCCAAAAGACC